TCCGGATTACTTTAATTATATGGACACTAAATAATGTAATTAGTTTAATAAATAAAAATATCCAGGACTACGTAGTTTTACTATAAAAATCAAGATTCGAATCTAGGCGCCTTCTAAAGTAGTGCGCGCAGCGATATATGTAAATACGGAAGTATGACTTCACAATATAGTGCGCCGATGAGATCGATAAAATAAGACAATAGTTCACCATCATAAGGTAAAAAATAGACAAAAATAGTGGTCAGCATCATATTACAATAATTCAAGATAAAAATAATGTACAACATGGTTGAATAATGAAAAATCAGACAGCAGAATCACAAGTGACAAGATGAGTAGTGAAGCGGTCAGTCAGACGAGAGAAACGCATGGTAAAGTACACAAGAAGTTCGCGAGCGGTAAAATGACGATTTCACATAGATGAAGGTAAAGGAATACTCTGGTACTGAACATGCATCAACAACTGGTAATTATAAACAGCTGCAGTTTAATTAAAACGATTGTTTTACCGTATTTACGAAGAAATTTAGAGAATAAAATTTGTAAACAAATGATCGAAAATGGGGGAAGTTGTCAAAACACGAACGGTAACACTGCAGGTTTTGTAAAACATATCTGAGTTGAAATAAGGCATAATAAATGCTGTTTAAGCTTAATAAATCACTTTAGAATCATGTACTATGATTAAAGTAAATTCCCATCCAGAATAAATTAATTGTAAACAATATAAAGAGTTAGCACATGAAGGTCTCACATATTACACCAAAGTAAAATAGATCACTAGACCCTGTAAATTCTTAAAATTGAGATGATGTCTGATTTTTCTAGAGTTATTCTATGCCTTTAAGACTTGCATAGTTTGATGAAAGAGTCTCTCTCTCTCTCTCTCTCTCTCTCTCTCTCTCTCTCTCTCTCTCTCTATATATATATATGTAGCTAATTCAAAATTATATACTTCCTTCCATATATCAATGTTTTGTGTACTTGATATTCCAGTATGAAATTTAACAGTCTTTGAAGAAGAAACAATGAAAAGAATTGGTTGTTTATATTAAAAGCATATGATTACAATCTCCTTTTTTTATGATCAAAATGATTGGTAGCATTTAAATTGCCTTATATAAGACTAGAATTTTCTTTTTACTGTAAAAGATTCGATGTAAAAGTTGCGTATTCAACATAAAGAAATGAATCAAAATAATTTTCTTTATTGTGCATCCACTTATTGCTTACCTTTGCACAAGAAAGAACTGGAGGGCCGTAATTTTTTTTAAACATTTTTGTTGCTCAAATATCAAAGCATTACACATAGTTGAAATGAAGCTCTTTGAATTGTTTTAAACTGAAAATAGCCACACTTTTATTGTATATATCATGCAAAACACACAATAAGGCCTTGAGTCATCCTTTCAGACAAGGTATTTTCAAGGGAGATGAATATCGCATTGATAATTTTTTTTATTTATATTTCTTACTTATTTTATGTGACCCTTCGAAATGGTATATATTCGATTGACAGGCCTCGCGAGTATATCACCAGTTCAAATCATTGGATAAGTAAAAAATAAAGTCAACATATAACAGATATCTTCTTTATATACTAAGTATTGACATGCTTGTAATATATACTTGCATGCAAAGTGTATCAATATCATAAATACTGTACATGCATGTATTAATTTCTGAAAGTGGCATTCTTGGAGCTATGAAACTGAATATTGAGCTTGCGCATTGACTATTAACTTTCAGGATTCTAGCTATAACATGCACATGAATGTTGTATTATTTATTTGTGCTTTTGTCCTAATTTTAGGATTGAAAATTGCGTCTCAATCTAGTTCACACAGAAATTCCGCTCTCCATTGGCAACAGTATAAATTAAAATAATAATTACAATTTAAAGGCATCACGTTGCTACAACCCCTCCAACTTTGTTGCTAGGGGATAACAACAGCAACGTCAAAAATGTCATTGTTTACTTTATGTGTCTTATGGTTAAACATTGTTACAATAACAATTATAAAATATGTAAAAGTTAAAATTGTGTCAATGGGAATCAGTTATTAGAGCATGTCATGATTGATTGAAGCAAATAAAGGAATATGATCCTGATTTATTAATTTTTAGGAATCATTTGAATAATTAATTGTCGCATGCATTTATTAGATGATAATAATAATATTAAAAAGAAAAATTAAAATCAATATATCTACATATGTAAATAATGGAGAGGTTCGGAAGTATCTGATTAAGCATTGGACAAAACAAGAGGGCATCTACAAGTCTATCCCAGACTCTAATGAACTTATTCCTTGCAACCAATATGTGCATTTGCTTTAAAATCTTATATATCCTTATTCTCTAAATTTAACATTTGACATTGCATTCTGGACATTTTAAACAAAGTTATTGGTAATTAAAAACACAAAATCTACTCACAACTAGTATCAATAAACTTTCACTATTAGAAAGTTTATGCTGCATCGGCTTGGACAGAACTAAAGAAAATGAAAAATAATTGTTCATCATTCTAATCAAAGAAAACTACACATTGACGAAAGTGACATAAGTACAAATTAAATTATTCAGCTTTAAGCTGTCTTGTTGATCTATTACTCAAGTCGAAGAAGAGATGAAATCTTCAAATCAATTATGAATAACGAAAACAGTTATTGATAATCGCTTGTCTTTAAAAATCAGTATGAAAAGTACTGACTTTTATAAGTTTCTTTGTCAAGAAACTGAAACTGTACAAGATGTGTTTGTATATTATGACCATATTTTATCACCACGGAAGAACTTAAATTTACATATATTCAGAGTCACTTCCAAACGAGTTAGATTCAACGTCAAAAATGTTATTTTAGGTGAATCATCACTTACTAAAGACAACAGAATTGAAAACCTCATGATATAAAGTAATAAGCATTATATTTTTCATTATTATAGATTATTACAGTCAAAAACACCATCTTTGACTAGTATGCTTAAGCTATTTGAAAATGAAGTACAATATCGAGAGATGTGTATACTGTATACAGGGTTATTTTCGCCCCATGTTATTTTCGCCCTTTTACATTCGCAGACAATTTGCCCCGTTTTAAATTCGCCCAGTCACAGTTCTGTTTAAGAAATGCTACTGTGTTCTTTGACTTCGCCCCGTTTTAAATTCGCCCACCTGTGAGTTGGGCGAAAGGGGCGAAAATAAAATGGGGCGAAAGTTTCCCTGTATACAGTATTCAAAACTCAAATCTGGTTTTTTTTTTTTTGTTTTTTTTTTTTTTTTTTTTTTTTTTTTTTTTGAAAAAGAATGGGTTTTGTGGAAAATATATTTGAAGCAATTTAAGATAATGTGAATATGATTTTTATTTTTTGTACATTATTGATTACCGATTGAATTCAGCTGATGTAAATATGTAAATATGAAGTAACGTTCATATAAATTCAAAATACAAGTAAGTGTGCCACCCTCCTCAATAAACCCAATTGTTATATTGCTTTGAAATTTCTTTTTCTTTTTTCTATGTTATTAACTGGATAATAATAAAGAAAGAAATAATTATAAACGGCTAAGACTACAGGATTTCTAAATATTTAAGAAGTATATCAATCAATCACGTATTGGAAAAACAAAAGTGAACTACATAGGGCTTCAATTACAACGAAATTCAAAGGACCTTCAGAAGTTTTCTCTATATCCGTCGTTCGTTTTATCCGTAATTTACACTCCAACAAGTTTTATCCCCTTCAATGTTATTGGTTTACACAAGAAGTAAGAGTCATTAAATATGAAACAATTGTGAAGGGAATTAATTGTAAATGCTTTAGTGTTTTAACAGATTTTATAAAACAATAGGCCAAATCGAAGAAAGTTTTCTTTTTAAGAAAAGAAAATCAGTTGATTCAAAATGTTGAGAGAGACAGGTCAGTACAAAGTGGCTGAAGAAAGTTTATCAAATCTAGATCGCCATGCTTTTCTACAGGAGAGAGAGAGAGAGAGAGAGAGAAAGATTAACTGTTTAATGCAGACTTTTTTGTAAAGTAAATTTATATTCATCATATTGTAGAAAATTTAGTACCACAAGTCTCAAAATGTGTTTAAATTAAATAAATATATAAAATATTCATGTATGAATATATGCCATAACTTTAAGTTCAATTTTTACCCCTTTCTTCTAAATTCATCGCAATATTACAAATTTTATGAAAGACCTAACCACGTAAGACTTAATAGATAACTTTATTACATCTTTTTATTTATTGAGCATCCAGTTAGTTGCTATTTTGAAAATTATTTCTGTTTTCTGTGGGAAGGAAGAATATTAAGATTTAAATTCTCAATTATCCCTGCTAAAAACTATCAATTATTAATACAAATATATTTTTTCTTTTTAAACATAAGTTTAACGTATCATAAAGATCAATATCTCGTACTTAAAAAAGTAAATCATTGACCCCTCCATATTTTCCCTTCGCATGGTATTTAATACTCAAAAATATTTTCACTGTTCTAATAAATCTAAAAAAAAATCTTCTTTTTTTTTGTATTTTGGCTGTGGGTTGGGGGATTGGGGTACTACTACTCCTACTACTCTTACTACTTCTACTACTACTACTACTACTACTATTATTATTATTATTATTATTATTATTATTATATGTATTGTTATTATTAAAGTAATTTCAAGACATTCAACTTTGATGGATGTCGTTTTCAAATAAATGCACATAGCAGTTTTTTAACGCAATTATTCTGTTTCATATACAATTTTTTAAATGTTAAAGTTATTTGTTTGATATACAGTGATTGATAATTCACATGCAGGTGAATGTTTAAAGTTTACTTTAAAGATTCCCAATAAGGAAGTATTTAGTTTTTGGTAAAGATAATAAAAAATACGTCATCAAGATGTTAACGGCAAAATTAAGAGCAACGCAGTTTCAATTAATAAGATTTGTGTGACTTTCTCTTGAGTAAAACGTGGCATTCTGTGGGTTTTCCTAGATCAAACTGGGAGTCAGTTGTGTAAATTTCTTAAAGATAGATTAGAACTCACCGATATAGTGGTTAATAAAAAAAAACCCGAAGGGAATTTTTTTTCTCCAAAACTAAACAATTTCTTTACAACATGAAAATTGAAATTGTTTTTTTGCTTTGTTTTTGGATAATTGATGGTGAGGCACACGCCATAGGATATCCTGGTGAGTCTACCTTGTTTAATTCCTTTGATAAGAGATAAAGGAAATAATTATTACAAATCATTATTACAAAATTAACTATAATAATATGAAATTGTATTAAAATTCAATTTATGATTAAAATAATCAAGCAATAGACAGTGCAATGAGAATATGTTTTTACATGTACATTATAATTTATGATAAAAATGCAATTCTGCTTTTATATATATACATGTAATTTATATTTTAAAAAAATACTATCAAGTCAGAATAAAATGTATGATAGAAAATAAAGAAGCTGTTGTTAGTCCTATTAAAAAGTGGATAAGACATTCCATTCTTGGAAGTAGACACTTGAATGTTTTTTTAGAACATACATTGAATTATGATTGCTGTAATGGATAAAGCCTTATGTAATTTTCAACGAAATTAAGAGATATTATAAATCTGATATAAAACTGAGTACTCAAGCTCAAACTTTTACCAACACATGATATAAAACAATCTTTTTTTTAAATATAAAATTATATCAGTGGTACTGTTGATCTAATTAAAGAATGGGTTTTTCTTTCGCTACTTGATAGCATAATAAAGTTAGCATAAATTAAATTCTTCTCTTTTTCGTGTATTACAAATTTTTATTAGCTTTAAGAGAATTTTTAAGCCATTAATGTTTGATATAAGAGGTGGAATAATGTATGCATTTTACACATGTGAATTTCTCTTTTTGTCTCTCTCTGTCATTTTGTCTGCCTCACCAATCTTATTTACATTCCCGTTAAAATCACACAATTTACTTAATTATATGAAAGGATGATTTTCCTCATTCTGATGGCTCAACGTTTGTAGTATTTTTGATGATTTTCTATAATGAATAATAACAACTTGCTGTTCTTTAAAAAGGACTGCTATACATGGACCATATGCATGTGTTTCTAAAAGAAAGCCGAAGAAATATTTCTAAGTTTATTGAAAATAGGTATATTAAATTTCATTTCATTAAATTCTAGATTTGATGCATTGTACATGAATTTAAATGTATTTCCATAGTAAAATTGCGATGTACAACGGATCTCTCTCTCTCTCTCTCTCTCTCTCTCTCTCTCTCTCTCTCTCTCTCTCTGTAATCGTTTTAAAACATTACCTTTGGTATATCATTAAGATTATATAAAAACTATTTCTCTCTCTCTCTCTCTCTCTCTCTCTCTCTCTCTCTCTCTCTCTCTCTGTAATCGTTTTAAAACATTACCTTTGGTATATCATTAAGATTATATAAAAACTATTTCTCTCTCTCTCTCTCTCTCTCTCTCTCTCTCTCTCTCTCTCTGTAATCGTTTTAAAACATTACCTTTGATATATCATTAAGATTATATAAAAACTATTTCTCTCTCTCTCTCTCTCTCTCTCTCTCTGTAATCGTTTTAAAACATTACCTTTGGTATATCATTAAGATTATATAAAAACTATTTCTCTCTCTCTCTCTCTCTCTCTCTCTCTGTAATCGTTTTAAAACATTACCTTTGGTATATCATTAAGATTATATAAAAACTATTTCTCTCTCTCTCTCTCTCTCTCTCTGTAATCGTTTTAAAACATTACCTTTGGTATATCATTAAGATTATATAAAAACTCTTTCTTGCAGTTTGTAACGTAGTACAACAGAGACAGCGACAATTTCCACCCCAAGGTGAGGAAAACTGCTTCACATTAGCAGAAAGTGATGAGGAATTTGTAGTATTTTTTTTTTTAAAATATGCTTTGATGATAGAAAAAATCTAAACAACTTGTCTTGAAATGTTTAAAAAGAGCTTTGTGTTATTGATTTTCATCTAGAGGTACTTTTGTTTTTGCAGTTATTTACATATATCCGTATGATGAACGAATATTTATACCGGTGATAATCAGGGGTAAGAGATTTATCATAATTATTATAGTGTGTATGTATAAAAACTGTTCTATCTATCATATTTGAATTGAAAACAAATCTTCCAATATAAATCAAATATAATCATTGGAATTTTCTATCATATCAAAAATTTAAAATACTCGCATTTTTCAATTCTGCTATCATATTTAAAAAATAGACAGTTAAAAGAAAAAGCATAGTACTTGTTATCATTATTTTAAAAAAATCATACAGAGGTACATGTAGATTTAATATTTTTATAGATCCATACTTTGCAAGGCAGCAACAACATCGGTTACGGCCTCAAGGTAAAGACTGTCATTTTCATGCAGTAAACAATTATTTTTGCCATATTTGATATCATAGGTAGCAAAAGAACAGAAAATAGTAATGGTAAAAATTTCACTAGTATTAAAGAAATAAATATCTTTATTGTTTCATACATTGCACAGAAGAGACAACATTTACAAGATAAAGACTATTTTTATAATGTAGTAAACACCTTTCCCCCTAAAGATGATTGTGTAATGAAAAATAATGCAATGTCCCCTCCTCTTTTTTTAAGAAAAGCCAAGCCCATATCTTAAATGAGAGGCCAATGGGCCTCAGTACTCGGATGAATAACCTTGGTGTTTTAAAACAAACTTAAAAAGTTTTCTTCCCTTTTTATCTTTATAACAATTTTGACCCTATATCGTGACCCACCCTAGCTTCAAGTGGTCATGACCAAACCAAACTTGAAAACAAAAAGCAAGGAAATGCTTCATTATCAAAAGTAGGAGAAGCTTTTTTCACCTCTTTACGAACATTATGTATAAATCGATCCCCGATTTTAGCCCCACCATTAGCCCAACGTCCATAACTTGGAGAGAGAAAAAAAACTAGAATCCGCACAATTTGGAAATTTTTGCACATTTACATGATTAAGTGTGGCTCCGCAAGTACATTTTATAAAATTTTCCTTTTTTTTTTGGTTTTTTTCTGTTTGTTGATTTTCCATGGATTCTCCTATGAAACTTTGATGAATTATATTTCAGCCACAGATCTGACCTCGCCGTAATGAATTCAACAAACTTGAATATGTACTACCTGAACATGTTGCTTAACAATATGACTAATCATGGACCTGTTGTTTTTCTGAAGAAGATTTTAAGAGTTCTTTCCTTATGTTTGTCATTTAAGACTTTAATCCCCTATAGTGACCCCACGTATCCCTTGGGGCATTATTTGAAGAAAGTTTAATCTTCACTACATGTACCGGAGGATGGTTTTACATACACATGTATAATTCATATTCCTGGCCTATTTTTTCTTTTTCTTGATTATCTAATCAACCCCGGAAGGCGATATGGTCCTTCGTAAGAAAAAAATTTGAATTCCTTTCACAAAAAAAAAAAAAAAATCCTTGTGCCAATTTGGCTGAAATTTTCGAGAGGTTCTGGATGTGGAGAAGAAAAAATGTAAAAACATTATGACAATGACAAGATTAAAAAAGACGATGATATACAATGGACAACAAACAGAAAAAAACTCATTGAGTTTTTTTATGAATCTATATTATATTTATTCTATTTTGAAAATTATTTTTTTATGCAGAAATCATGACATGTTAACTTTATATCGCATTTCATATAAGGTACTGGTCAGTATATATAATTTACATATACGCTCTCAGACCGATAAAAACAACCCATTTTCATAATGTTTCCAGGACAACAATGCTTTTTTACCTTTATCCTTTGATGCATAACGGGAAAAAAATACTGATTCATTTTTTCATGATACTCAAAATATTGTTGTTTTCATTTTTAGTTGATCAAATCCCTCAAGGATCTGCCGGATATGGCGCTAGTTATAATCTTCAGAGCCTGATGTGTAATTTTTGCCTTTCACAATACATGGGAAAACCCTGCTCAAATTACTGTTATCAAGAGTCTTGAAGATATCCATGTGCTATATATCCATACATTACGATGAACTTGAATACAACCCTTTGGTTTAGAACAATGATCATATATGTATATGCAGATATAAAACATTTTGTAATTTGTCGTCTATCAAGACATCATAATGAAAATTGTCTTGTGCTTGTGTTGAAGTAATATCTATATAATATCCATGTCTTTTTTACTTATCTTGATAAATTCATTTGTAAAATTAAAGAATTCATAGTGAAAAATTAAAAATGTAAATTTTCTATCAATTCTTGCAATTCTTTTCTTACATTGTTTTTTTTTTTGTCATACCGTCGGAAAAGAAAGAAAAAAACCCAGCTACAGTGTACGGTGTCTTCGTTTGTTTTGTTGAAAAGCTTGTAATCACTTAAACAGCAATCTGAAAATTTCCTCAACAGATCAAACTATTGAATAGGTTTTTGCGCTGAACATGAAAAAAAGTCATCCTTTGTTTTGACTAACCTTCAGTTTTTCACATCATAAGCTTTAGATCCCTTAGCAGACTAAATTTTATCATGATAAAACATTGCTATGGACTTTTTTAGACACCTCTTTTTCGCAATGAAATATGGAGATGACGAAGAGTAATCAAGCTCAAAAGTCAATTGAAACAATACATATTTGGAGCGGAGCAAACACGGATCTCGACCTCTAAAACATCTGAGGTGGGATCAGGTGCCGTAGAGAAGTAAGCATCCTCTGTGGACCGGTCACACCCGCCGTGTGTTCATTGTCATGATCGGGCAAACGGAAAAATCCCGTCGACAATTCAGTGTCTATATAAAGGCCTAAGAATTAGTAGGAAAAACATCAGTCAGCATTCGACATAATGATAAATTGTATTTGCTGACAAGGCCATTGTATCGACCATAGAACTGCAAAATGATGACGTAAACAAGACTGATATCCTTGTTTGATCAACTTGTTTGTCAGTAGCTTGCCTCGTTTTAGAAATTATTTGTACGTGGAGCATGCTCTTGCGTATCGAATTAACTGGGAGATATAAACCCATATGCAGGTGATAAGGGCATATTGCTACATAAGTAAGGAAAATTGACGTTGGAAAAGTTGAAGTCATCAAATTTATCGTAAAGTGTTGTTATTAGGTCACAATTAACGTCTTTTTCAAGTGAAATATCCTAATATGAAACAGATGTGTCAGACTCTGTTGTATCTTTTATTTCAAGTTCACTGGGATATATCGAGTCGACATATGAATGGAAGTAACGATTGTTAATTGATAATGGGTCGTAGATACATCTAAATGTCGAGCTGAAAGCAACAGCAAGTGTCCTCTTCTTATCATGTAGAGGTTTTTGAATAAATTCTGCTTCATATGAATACAAATATAGGTCTGCTAATAACAGGGGCAATTGGTTCCCTTTGGAATGCCAACAGGTTGTTGGAAGACCTGATCTCCAAAACCTATATTAATTTGTCAATCAGAAACTCAGGCAACTTTTAAAATCTACTTCAGAGTACTCTGTGTACAATCAGAATTTTTTTGAAAAAATAATGCTGCAAATGACCAATGACAAGGTATGTTAATTCACGTGTAAATTCTTATTGAAAAAACAGCTGTCTATGATGTCAAAAAGTCTGGACTTAAAAAGTTGTTGAAAAGTCGTACTTACTGATGTTATTGATTTTGGCAAAATTTTGTAATTTTGGTAAAATTTTAGTGATTTTGGTAAAATTTGTGATTTTGTCATTAAACTTAAGATCAGTGGATAAACATTTTTATAAACTCAGTCAAGAGCATACGAACGTTGTTCGGAAAGTTTGTGAACTTCTTTCATAACTTTTTTACGTGACGCCATATTAAATCCAAATTTGAGAGAAATGTTTTTACAATAAATTTGAATGATATGTATGAAAAAAATACATATTATGGAAATAATAGCATTTATGTCGAAACTGTTTTCCATTTTATCATTTAGCCTGTATTGTTCCCCCGATCATAACCCTGTGTTGAACCCTTTTTCACTGAGAGAATCAACTGTGCCTCGACCAATGAAATCTCACTTATGTATCATGCGTCCTTAATCTATTCATATACATTGTTCCACTTGAATATTCTGCATCAAAACTGTGAATTTTATTTGCCCACCACCTCCCCATACTTGTATATCCACCTTTAGATATCAGCTGATATCTAAATGTGGATATACAAGTATGGGGAGGTTCAATTTGTTACACTATTTTGGTTATTTTAGAAATCTAATAATTATTATTCTCCATCTTTTTGCTTTTATAAGCTTTTGAACAATTTTTCGAAGTTTGTGATTGAACTAATCAGTATTATTGTTACTTGTGAAAATAATGTTTTGGGAGGAAATCAGGATAAATGATGTGATGAAATGTTATGTAACTAGATGACAAAATTTTTATGTTTGTTGATTTCCCCCTTTGTTTGTGAATCCAATATTTCGTCATTTGTTATTTGTAATAAATGACATATTTCATTCTCAGACAATTGTCCTGTTGTGTATGTTAGTTAAGCAAAATCAAACTTCGGTGACCTGTTTGTAAGGAAAACGGTTTGAGACATATATTCAAATACATCTTGATAGAAAACTAATTCAGAATTAAAAGTTCGAAAATGGGATCGCGGAAAATTTTTTTTTATAATTAACAAACAATACAATCAATAATTTTTGCAGTCATATCTCTGTAAAATAGCGTAAAATTTTTTTTAAAAATGCTCTATGTTCGAATAAAGAATATTCAAAATATGATTTAATATTTTGCTTCGAAAGGAAATCAATTTCAGAAGATATGTAGTCGTCATTGAAAAAGGCTAAGAAAGATGACGTCGTAGAACGTCACGGAGCAGTAAGTAACAATTAATTTTGTGCTGCACTCGGGACATTTTTATCTCTAACTTGAATTTTATCCTCCAACTGTACATTTATGAACGTAAAATCCCTTTCGTATGAAGTAGTACATCCTGTGTATTCCTACTTACATAATGATATATGCAGACGAAACATATTTCGAAAGACAAGAGGACGCGCATTTGTTTATCATATTCATCATAAATATTGTAATATTTTTTAATCATGCATGTTCTAGTAATAGTAAAAATTCATCGATATTGCATAATCAATAACAAATGAATTGTCTGCATCGGTAATTAAGTCACATTAGTGGAAGAGTGGCAATAGACATAAGTGTTTTGTGTGGTTTTTACGGTTATAACGAACTCTGATATAACGAATTTACTGATATAGCGAACAGATTTTGAGCCCATAGGGGATAAAAATAATTAAATATACATCTTTTATAACGAATTTTCAAAGATCTCAAAATTTGATATATTGCACTGACTTTATTTTAGATAAGTATTTAAATATAAAACTCAATTCATAATAAAACCTTAGTTCTCCAAAGTATATTTTGTAATAATTGCTTCCTTAAAATATTCGGTAGAAATACTTGATGGAAAACGTTGTATATTGTGAATTCGCTAAGTATAGTCATACGATTTCGTTATACGGGCCTTCAACTATTTCTGAGCAAATGCTATATTTTCCTAAAAAAAAGAAAGAAAAGGAAAGAAAAGAGACCTCAAAATAAACTGATATTTTATTTAATTTTGTAATCAATCTTAGTTCATAGACGTAAAGTTGATCGAGTTCATGGTAGTTTAAAACGAATTTTAATAGTAACATTTTTTTCAAAATTTTGAATAATTGGTATTTGAATTTAAAAAAATAGTTTGTATGTTTTTCTTTCAATTAACTTGATTTATAAAGGTCAACTAAACACAATCAGAGATTACTTTGAATTACTGTTTAAATTCAGAAAATAAAAGTTTGACTCATTAGTTGTGTGAGAATCCTTAATATTACTTTTAATTAAATCATTCAGGAAGTCTATATATTTCAATCTCTCTTTGAAATTCCTTTAATATTAGATCTTTAGATTCAAAAGTGTAGATATTTTCAAATCTAATATTTATCTGTTTGAATTATTCAAAGCTTAAAAAGGTTGATGGGAACAAAACTTGGTCACATCTAAATATAGACGAATTGTGAACCTAAAAGGCATACCTTTAACAATGAATTATAATTCCATATGATTATATGTCAACAGAATTTGTATATAAAGACAATTGAATATAATTTCCTTTCAAAAAAAAAATCAAACTCAGTATTCATTTCATGATGTATGTCCGGATATTTCTTATCTGTTTTTTGTTTGAGACCGTGACACTTGCACAAAATGTTCCAGTTTTAAGGCCAGTGAATAGAAATATACTTATTCCAGTAGGAGGTAAGCAATGTCTTCTCAATTAGATACTGCAGTATATGATATATATATATATATATATATATATATATATATATATATATATATATATATATATATATATATATATATATATATATATATATATATATATATATATATAATTAAAATACATGCCTGTATGAAAACTTTTGAGCAAATTTTAAAGGAAATGAAGATAATTATGCCAAATAAAATCATTTTTAATTTAATTGTTAGTTGATATGCTTATCAAATTTTAAGCACTACATTAAAAATATACATTCACAGAGTGTAGGAAAGGAAATATTGATGGCACATTTTAATTCTTAAGATTTTAATATTGCAACCTAGAAATTACTAAATAATGGAACCTCTATGTTCATATACGAAGAAGTAATACGCCATTCGACGTTTGCACGTAACTTTAATTTGAATATGAATAAATTATCTTTAGAAGTAATTGATTTCAAAGTTTACGAATTTTAAATTGACAGTGTTATTTAGATTTTTGTATTAGGTTTATGAATCATTAGAACGACTCTGCTATGACCATGCCAAATTTCAAGGTATAAGATGAAATGTACCTTTTTCAGTGTACATTTAGCTATAAACTCAGCTTGAAAGTACGATGTGAATGTTTCAATTTCTCAGATTTTTTTTTTCATTACATGTAATTTTAAAAACTATTAAGAATAAGGAGATAATTAGTGATTTTGCGTCCTCCTTTTCAAGAGAGAAAAAAAACATTATTATAAACTTTTAATTCTTTTAATGGTCAAACACGTGTTTTTTTAATTAAACAACACGACAAAAGTTATTTTTAAATTACTAACATTTTTACGGAAAACACGAGGCAATGCGAGAATGTGCATGTAGTATATTACATTATTATACTTTCATGTTAAATACTAAAATCTGATTGGTTTAGACGCATTTAACAATCCGTAATGTTACCCTCAGCGTAAGCAACACACTTGACAACGGGTAACATCACGAAAATATCACATGCGTTCAAATCATGCGCGTACGGTTCACCGTAGAATTCTCAAAACGTCAGTTGTGCGTTTGAAAGAAGCTGAATAAACGACGTCAATAAAAGCTTGCGTCCGATGTAGCTTACTTGAAAATAACAAACGACAGACGAAACATCCTTGCGAGTGCAAACTTCAGATGATAAAGGACTTTTGAGTAGCAAACAAACAATAAAGAGGTTGGTAAATCTTTTCCGAAGCTTTCTTATTGAGAAAAATAGAAGCGAGGAGTTTGAAAGCTTTCTAAGCGTGAACTCAACGACGATCTCCGAATTTTTTTTTATGACATCCGAAATCAATAAGACATTCAGTATAATAAAATAAATAGTGCACGTTTTTGAGGGCAACAGTTGAAATTGACACCCCTCGGAAAACCATTGTCAACCTCCGCTGACGCGTCGGTTGACAATGGTTTTCCTTGGGGTGTCAATTTCAACTGTTACCCTCAAAAACGTGCACTATTTATATAATATTACATACACAAAAAAAAAAAAAAAAAAAAAAAAAAAAAAACTGCATGTTTTCAAACCTCCCATTATTTCTTATTTTGATTTTGTTATTGATTTCAGGTGCCGTAACTCCTGTTTCTAACTATGGATATGTTTCTAACTATGGCAACGGGGGAAATTTACTCAATGAAAATAACTTGGTTTGTGCACTCTGCCAGTATATGTACGAGATGTATTCTCCCGTATGCGCTAATTTCTGCAACTATTGGTTAGGAGCCCAAGCTTTACGAGCTTCGTCTCAGCGTTTAACGCTTATAATAGGACTGAGACAAGTATTGGTACCAGTGCACACTGTGAAAATTTATCCTTATCAATGGAAACGTCTATATTAAAGTGTTTCATTACAATTATTAAATTTGATATTTGTTGGATTTTATTTCATAAGATACGATTTACCAGCAACCGGAGTTAAAAAATTTTCAAGCAATGTTGTCAGATATACAGTAATGTTTTCGTTTATCTGATTTCCTCGACTTTTTGGAGAGCATGCAGAGAAAATAAATTTTCTTACGAATATACATGTAGCTCAGTTCATTAGTTTGTAGGAAAAGACAAAAAAGACATCATGATAAAGTAGAATAAAGTCACAATACATGCATATAAAAAAGATTAAAGCAAAATTTTGAATTAAAAAAAAACATTTAAGTTGCTTTATAACAAAGCGTCTAAATTCTCGGCTCTAAAGGTTTTATGGGATGGACGCACTATCTGCATACAATAATTCTATTGAATATTATATATTTGTTGGAAAGAAGATGGGTGAACAAGGCGAGCGAAGTGCCTATAGTACGACAAAATGAAGGAGGAAACTTAAACCTCAATTGTAACAAAAATTTCTTCGATGTTTCATCAAACATAAAAGTATACTTTATGTAAAACTCTCCACAATTTGCAAAATCTCACTAAGATTGAAAGTATTTGCCTACGAAATAGCATAGACACACTACTAAAGAGGGCAAAAAGGATCATTTTCTTATACTATGACACAATTTTTCGATATGAGTGGGTCTTTGCTCCTTTTTTTTAATTTGAAAGTTTATCCTCAAACTTTGTGTAAAAACGTTGGTTAACAAAAACATGGAGCAAAAACCAACTATACCTTAAAAATACACTTTTATGGCACAACCTTTGCATCTTCCGAGAAATACTTGAAGTTTATTTAATCAAAGGTCATATCACAAACATGGTGAAAATGTCACTGTTCATCAGGAGCTGTGTAGCGTAGTGGTTACCGCGTTAATCTGAAAGGAAAATAATACTCAGGATTTTTATTGATAGTGTTCAAACCCAACGAATACCAGTTTTTTAATAACAGAAGAATTTTTGTCGAGAAAATCTTTTAAAAAAATTGTTTTTATCATAATTTCACAAATTTCAATAATGAGGACTTTACTCTAAATGCTAAATTCACAAATTGAATCTGATATTTTTAACTGAAGCTAGGCATTCTTAACGCCTTGTTCACCCATCTCCTTGATGTTATGTTATAAAAAGTATAATCTTTTAAGCCACTTCTTTACAAATTCAAGCTGCAAAGAATACCGAATGTTTTTGGCAGCTACATGTGTTTTTTCAATATTTTCTAAAACCTTAGGTATTAAATTACATAAATATCGAAGAACTTCAAAAATGCTTAAAATGACGAAAACAAACAATATTTTAATCTCTTCCTAATGCTTATACTATGATTTATCAATTATAAGAATTATAGAATATTTTCTTGTTAAAAGTCAATATTTTATTTTAAAACAATATTGAATATATAATTAATCTCAAGAGCGGGATTTTGAGCAACAATAAAATTGTACCTCATGGTCAACACCACTTGCCAATTAAAGATATAATTGACAGGGTTAGAAAAGCAAGATCTACCTGTTTTGTGTTTTGATTCCAATTAACACTTTGGCTTTTCCATCCCTTTGATTGTCCTGCGATAGAAAAAAATAGCATGCAACACCCTCCCTTAAACACAAACCTACACACACCCTCATACACAGTGAGACACACAAACACAGACAATAAAAAAAAACCCAGAAGTTAAAAATGTCATTTAACATCGATTCACTGACGTTATAAAATTGCATACAATCTAAGAGTACAAGTTAAACTAAAGGTACTGTGAGCACTGTGCTCACAAAATGACCTTTCCCTGCTCCTATATGAGTAAAATGACAAAGTTCATTGTTCTGGTACATGTATGGGAGATTCCAAATATCTGTCCCATCGAAATGTAAAACAGGAGTTCACAATGGCTCTTTGTAATAAAAAAAATTATTCATTTATTCATTCATATATGACATTTTGCAAGCTAATTAGAATGTATCTACAGCTTTACACGCCGCTCCTAGATACTTTAAGCAAAATAACGGGACAGTAAAATTACAATCATTCCAGCAAAATAATGTAAAATAATACTGAAAGAAAAATAAACTTTACACATACAGAAGTCATGCAACAGGTTTTTTTAATTATTCTGTTCAACTGTTTCTCTCCTTAATTTTTATAAAGGTCTCAATATCTACTTACGTTAGTGTACATTATATGGAGGACTTTTTTTCATACCACTTTGAATCTGAGTCTGGTATTCAAACATTTTTTTGTGCTCAAGTAATTGTTCTATCTGTTAACTATTAAAGATTTTAATTATGTTCATCAAGATATATATATTTTTTTTTATATGGGATTTTTTCTTGGTCGCGAAGGAAAATCCAGTTACGTATTGAATTTCCAAAAAGTAGACATTTAATAGGCAGATAGTTGATTAATTGACACCAAGTAAGTTGAATGTTGACTAATTGTTAGGCCTTTATTTAAAACTGGTCGTTTTCTCCAAATTTCATTGAAGATATATATATGTGGGAATCTTTATGCTTTCTATTTTATTGAGTAAGATCTTATTTCCAAAATGCATGTTTTGAAGCATATTCGAGGAAAAAACTGTTCGTGCCATTGAGTTTTACATTTCGATATGCGACTTCAAGTTGTGTATATCACGCTTCATGATTGTGGTGAAATTCATTAATCAACAGAAACATCATGAAGGCGTTAAACGTATTTAAAGTGTTTGTTGTCCTAGTACACATAAGTGTAGCAGTGACCACAAACTTGAGAAGTGAACTCTTTGGTCCAAGAAAAGGTAGGTATTCATAAAATAGGTTTTACATGGGGGTGGGGGTTGGAAAAATTAGTTTTTTAAAAAACTAGTTCAAGAGTAGGTCATCACTTGCTTCTTACAATGAAGGAATAACACATCTTAATTTTTTTAGTATGGAAATATTTCATAAATGAGGACTAAAAAATGTTATGTATTAATCGTCCTATTCATTGAAGGTATTTTCCAAAAACCTTCCTGGCTTAAATTAAAAAGCTTACTTGGTAAACTATACGTAGATTGAGAGTTCAAGGGATTGAATTAAAATAAAATATCAGAAACTAAAATCATTGGTTAGACGAAAAGAATACGAATGAAATTTAAAGGTAGGGACAATTTAAAAGAAAAATGTTTTAAGTAGTGAGTTGAAAAATTGAATGGTTAAAAAAGCATCATCTTTTCTGAATGCAATTGTCAGGAGTATTTTTCATCGAAAAAATGTTTTTATCATCCATACCTTTCATATACAAGTTTTAAAAAAAGAAACAAGTCTGAAATGTTCAATCTTCATTAGATCGTTCTCTGGAAGCATTTGATAACAGGAAGGTGTTGAACATGAAATATCATTATATATGGTTTTGCATTTTGTTTTAGATCCTCTTCCTTCAATGCATCTCCCATCGGGGCCAATGAAAAATCAGATGATTTTGTGTGGACTATGCAGAATTTCGACTGGGAAAAATTTGACCGAGTGTAACCGCTTGTGCCTGTCTTCTGTCAAAGGACATGATTGGCCACAAACTTCTTCACTGAAATTAATACCATTTGCACCATCAAACAAAACTCAGTTCTTATTAAAAAAACTTTCCTCAATTACCAATACAAAACGCAAATTAAAAACGACACAAGCATCTTTTAGCTCATTATCGAGCGCTACTTCTCAAACGCCTATCCCGTTGCAGGACAAAAACGATACAGATCTTTCTTAAACCCAGTTGCTTTTTCTTCAATCAAGTGCCAACCCTTTCCAAGATCAAGTGAAAATTGATTTCATGTGATCTATTGAAGTCAAATTTGGAATGCATGTTGGTGTGGTTAGAACTGCAGTTCTATTTATTATAGGATATAAATAAGATACAGAATTCTAAAACTCCTGTTAGGGAAGTAGTAATTCAGGATAATTTGTGGCAAAGAATCTAAAGAGTTCTTAATAAATAAGAGGAAGAAATACCTTTTTACACAAAAGAACAGTACTACTCAAGTATTTCTCAACTTTATGGTTAATTTTTTTTGTTGCTTACTTCTACACATATTGACATTTAGTAAAGCTTATCCGTGACGACAATTTTAAATTACGACAGGTATTCTTAGACGTATTTGTTTATAATACAAAGGTGATGGTAAAATATTCAATCTTTACCGATTTTTACGTCTTGTATAGAAAAATAGCAAAATACAATGTAACAAAATAAAGATACATAGCGGGATTTGTGCATTATTATTTTTTGAATATATTTAATTAAATGGATGATTCATTTGTTTTCTGTTTGATGCACTTACTATCTTAGTTTTCTTAACGAAAGGTTGATTTATTACTTTCTTAAAATATGGATTAATAAATAAATAAATGCATGGATTGTGTTGTTTTAACATGTGATAACACACACATATATATATATATATATATATATATATATATATATATATATATATATATATATATATATATATATATATATATATATATATATATACATGTATATATATTTTCCCAATATACGTATTCCCATTACAAACTTCGATCCCCTAATTTGGCACTTACCTACGGAGGCCATGATTTGAACAATTTAAATTTACTTTATGTCAGGAAGCTCCCACATAAGTTTCCTGTTTTCTGGCCCAGTGGTTCTTGAGAAGAAGATTTTTAAATGATTTCCACTATTTTTCACTATTTTTTACAATTTCTTAATCATCACCCCTTGAAAGAGGGCGTGGTCTTTCAGCTGAACAAACTTAAATTCCTTTCATCCTTGTAAGGATGCTTTGTGCCAAGTTGGAATAAAATTAGCCCAGTGGTTCTGGAGAAGAAAGTGATTGTGTGAAAAGTTTATGACGACAGCAGCATCGACGCAGACAGACAGTAAACAAATTTAGATCAAAAAAGCTCGTCTGATCCTTTCGCTCATGTGAGCTAAAAATGTTAAACATAAACATTGCTACAATAACAATAATACACGTTAAAATTAAAATTGTGTCAGTGGAAATCAAT